ACCGTTCCCCCCGCGGGGCTGAGAGTCTGGGTCAGGGGGTTCCCGCCCTTTGCGCCCCTCCCCCCGCCCGGCGCTTTCCGCCCAAAGAGCCCGGATGGCTCCCGGCCTGGGGGTCTGCACCCCCCTCCTAGGCCCACCCCCATTTAATAAGGGGTCTGCCTGCCCGGGGAGCACAGTGTCCATGGGGGGGCTCAGGGGGAAGGACGCGGTGTCCCCTGAAGAGGCGACCTGCCCGCAGGGAGGGGCTTTGTGGGCGCGGTGACTGCGGGGGGCGGGGGCCCAGGCTGGGGGGTCAGGAGAGGGAGTGAGAGACAGACACGTGGGCGGGAGGAAGGGCAGAGCGGGGTCCACAGAGAGGGGCCCATAGGGTGTGGGGGGGACTGGACGGCGACGGTAGGAGTGAGGGGGTCACTCGGGGAAGTAGCCTGAGGAGGAAGGAAGTGGAGACACAGGGAGGAGGGGGAGCCCAGAGAGAGGAAGGGGGGCTGAGAGGGAGCGGGTCCTGGGGAGCAGAAGTGGGGGCCGCACAGGAGGAGGCACTTGAGACAGAGACACTGGTTCAGAGAAGAGTTGGGGAGCGAGTGCAGGGACAGAAAGGGGGACTCAGGGATGAGGGAGCAGGGGGAGCAGCCCTGAGTCAGCAGCTGTGGGAGCGGGACAGACGGGAACAGGCAGCAGAGGGGCCGCGGGCGTGGGGAGGGGAAGACGCAGACGTGTGTGGAGATGGAGCCTCAGAGACCAGGAGAAAGAGCCCCTGAAGGGAAGTAGGTTTCAGGAGTTTCATGGTCCAGGTGTAGGACAGACAGAGAGAAAAGGGGGGAGAGAGCAGGGGAGAGGGGGGGACACAGGAAAGGACCACAGTGGAGGGAAAGGGAGCAGGAGACAGAGACAGATCCACAGACAGAAATACATGTAGTGGGAGGAGGGGAACCCTGATCTGGGTGAGGGGTGAGCTGATGGGATGTGGATGATTCACTTGTGATATATAGGCTATGGTGATTATATGTATATATATATAATTTCTGAGAGGCAAGGAGAGGGGGAGAGAGAGAGAAACATCATTGACTGGAGACAATCATTGATCAGCTGCCTCCTGCTCGCCCCACACTAGGGATCAAACCTGCACCCTGGCCATATGCCCTGACTAGGAATCTCACCATCACTTCCTGGTTCATAGGTCAAGCTCAACCAGTGAGCATGCCACCTAAGGATGCCTTTATATATTTAATTTAACAGCTGAATTGTCTTAGTTATACAGATTGAATGAGAATTATAAATCTACAGTTTATAAGGTTTGGGATTTTATAATAATTTGCTATCAATTGCAACCCTTATTCACTCAGAGGGGAGAGACTTGTCTGTTGGTCAGGGTCCCTTGTCATTTCCTGGGATGGCAACAAGGAGGTGACCTGTGTCTATCACCACCTGATGCTTTTTAAGGAATATTAGAAGCCTTAGGTTTGTTGCTGTGGTGTTTTATATGTGTGTGTGTGTGTGTGTTCCATGGATTTACTTTTTCTGTGTCTGACAATTTATTTTTTAAAAACATCCTTAGATAAATCCCCTGGGTCTTCTCAGATCCCCTGAGGAGCTTAAAGAAATGCCCTCAGGGGCACTTTCCCCCATGGAGTTGGACAGATGCTCTGGGTGGGGCATCATTGGTTACTGAGGGTCTCCAGGAGATTGGAAGGTGAGGACAGGGATAGCAGGAGGGTTGCAGGATGCCTTTGTGAGAGTGGGGAGCAGGCTTTGTTCAGGGGAGGTAAGGGGGTGCTCTTTGGTTTGGGTGGTCAGGACATCAGCTGACATTCTCATTTCTGTAGGAGTTTGTGGATGTCTTTGGGAGGAGAGACACATGAAGACATTCCCTCAAAAATTCACAGTGTGGTCTCCAAGTAGGAGCTCAGTGTTCCTCACTCTCTCCTGTGACCAAGGACAGGAGGGGGTGGCATTTTCCTCATTTCCAGGTCCTTCTGACTGTAAGTGTCGTGTGAGCTGGTTGAGACGCTGAGCTGATGTCTTTGAAGGTACATTCTGTGACTCCTCAACATATCCTCGCCTAAGAAAACAACCCAGACCCTGATCATACTAGGACCAAATGGCTGCTTCTCAGGTAAAAGATGTGTCCTGAGTCACAGGCTAGGTTTGCTTTTCCTCTGACATCTGTGGATTTAGAACCTGCCACTTCTGATGTTGGTGCTATTTATGTTCTTTTCTTTTACTTATTTAATTACAGTTTTTCTTAGGATGGTGATGGTCAGCAGTTTATATAGTTTTGTCCTTTAGCCCAGAGCCTTCTCTGCATTCATGTTATGCAGGCTCCCACCAGGTCAAGAAGATTTCTCACCTTTAATTGATGATTTTCAACTACTGAAAACATCCCTCTCTGATCGATCTTCCCGGGAAGGTAGCCATGTCTAACATCCCAGTGGGAAGAGGCCAGAGGCTTGGGTATCAGTGAAGAAGGGAAATGTTGGTTTTTAGGTTCAGTGGCTGCAGCATCAGCTCTAGAATAGGGGTAAGAAAATTCACCTTTTACTGCTCACAATAGCTCAGAAAGTTCTGAAGAGTAAGGGAAGAGACTTGTTCACTAGATAAGTAAGAAAGACTTGCTATTTAAATGTACCTTTAGCCCTAACTGGTTTGGCTCAGTGGATAGAGCGTCAGCCTGCGGACTCAAGGGTCCCAGGTTCGATTCCGGTCAGGGCATGTACCTTGGTTGCGGGCACATCCCCGGTAGGGGGTGTGCAGGAGGCAGCTGATTGATGTTTCTCTTTCATCGATGTTTCTGACTCTCTATCCCTCTCGCTTCCTCTCTGTAAAAAATCAATAAAATATATTTTAAAAAATTAATGTTTATTTATGACCATTTTCACATAATGACTTGCTTATTTATGTATTTTTGCTATGACATGTCCTTTTCTGATATCCATTGTTCCAGTTCACCTGATATTCCCTTGGCTGAGATGCTCACTTAATTGGAGAATTTATTGAGAGATGTGCACAGACCTTCCAGAAGTCCCCCCTCCCCCTTCGTCTTAGCTTCTATTTGCTTCTACTTTTATTTCCAACAAATCACTGACTTTTGACATGGGAGCTTCAACCAATCAGGCCTTCTTGCTGCAAATTTTTATTATATTCTACACTCATTCATGGACATACTCAACATAATCACTTTTTATATTGTCTAGAAAGTTTATAAGAATCATATTATTAATGTATCTTCAATTCAGTTAAATTTCTATGATTGTAGCTCTCCACTAATGACACATAAAAATTTACAAATAAATGAGCAACTAAGATATTTTATAGGTCTAACATATTTTCTATGATTATGTGAGTTCATCTTATATAATACACAAAGGGTATCATTCACAAGGAGGTTCATGAAATGTATGGAATCATAAAATAACCTTGATTTCATTGACATGACAATTCTTTTTTATCCATTTTAAATTGTAGGTAAGTTATCACATCTGTGTCTGTCTCTACATAAAATATTAACATTGTTTGAGCTATATTTTCTTACTTGCTTAACCTGTCTTTATTCTTCTCAGTTACAGAAACTGCTGTGAATATTCATGAGTTTACAGGTATTGACCTGTGTTTGTTTGTTTTTTAATTGTAGCTTGAGTTTGGAATAAAATTGAAGGTTTACCTTTTATTATATGTTTCACAAAATATTTTTTTATCAAAGGCAGAATAATCTTGTTCTAAGAATTCTCATAGTAAATTTTCTTATTTTTTATTATTATTATTTTTAAAAATATATTTTTATTGACTTTAGAGAGAGGAAAGGGGAGGGAGAGAGAGTTAGAAACATCAATGGTGAGAAAGAATCATTGATCAGTTGCCTCCTGCATGCCCCCTACTGTGGAGTTTACATGCCCTTGACCAGAATCGAACCTGGGACCCCTCAGTCCCCAGGCCGACGCTCTATCCACTGAGCCAAACCAGTTAGGGCTCATAGTAAATTGTCAGATAGGATTTTGGTTTCTATGTGTCCTATTCCATGAGAACTATAAATTCCATTGAAAAATACTTTCACTTAAAAGTTATGTATGAATTTTTTCCTGTGTTTTCTGTGTATTCAGAAGTATGACAAATGGACCAGAAACATTGGCATCACAAGTGAAAAGTGAGCTTGTTACACATGTGGAAACACAGGCCCTATCTGAGAACCTGGATCAGAATCTGTATTTTTAGAAAAGTGCAGTCGTGGTTGACTGTGTTACACTTCAGGCCGTAATTATGCTTCCAACTGAGCATGACATCTCCAGCTGAGGAATACACACCACGGACCCTGAACGATGCAAACACAGCCCTCAGAAACTCATATGCCCATGTCGATGCCCTAATTTTAAAGTTTATTTTCCTGAAAAGTAAAGTCTGTACCATGGATTTTGGGACATGTGTCATCCTCATTTGTTAGTGTTTGAAAACATACCAGAGAATGTTACTGGGCAAAGTGATCTTATTGGGTGATTCAGGATATTCCCCTTGGTCAAAACCTCTTCTCCTCACACGGTTTTCTTTTTTGTTTGTTTCTTTTTTTCCCTTCATTTTTTTCTTTATCTCCTAACACTGTTTTCACATTGGCTGACATTATGAACTCTTCTGGTGACTTCTTGATAAACTTATCTTTTCTTTCAGGGACCGCTGACCTTCAGGGATGTGGCCATAGATTTTTCTCAGGAGGAGTGGGAATGCCTGGACCCAGCTCAGCGGAAATTGTACCTGGATGTGATGTCGGAGAACTACAGCAACGTGGCCTCCCTGGGTGAGGGTGACTTCCTTCCTGAATTCCTCCTCCACTTGCAGGGTTTTGTTTCCTTTATTATTTTAACATCTTTAGGAGGCTTCTGCTTTTTAGGGTAGACTTTCTGATTCTTGCTCTTAGGAAACAAATCGGGGTATTCTGGTTTAGAAAAAAAGGCTTTGTTATGTATGTGAATGAGGAACTCAGTGTTTGAAAATTTTATTTGTTGTCTTGACTAATTAAGGTTCTGTCAGAAAACAGCATTTTGGAAAATAATTTTTTAGAATATTCAAATATTCTGCCATGTCTTCTTGCCAGTGGAGAAACTGGATTGGAAATAGAAGAATCTCTATCAAAACTCATGTTTCATCTATATATATAAAAGCCTAAGCAACCTTTATGATGGAACGACCAAACAACCAGTTGCTATGATGCACACTGACTACCAGGGGACAGGCACTTGACACAGGAGCTGCCCCCAGCCCGCAGGTCCCGATCTCCGATGGGGCCTGCCCTGCTGGCTAACCTCTGGGTCCCTCCCCACAGCCAGCAGGCCCCCGGGCTGGGCTGGGGAACCATGGGTGCGTGGCAGTGGACACAGCCCCTTTCCCAGGGAGGCTGAAGGCGGGATCCCTCCTCAGGGCCAACCTCCTGGGCCCCTCCCTCTCCCCTTCCCTTCAGTCAGCAGGCCCCAGTTGGCGGTGAACCACGTGGTGGTGGCACACCGGTGGTGAAGGAAGGAAGAGGCAGGTAGGTAGGGAATTTTATCGGCCCTGATCGCCTGCCACGTCTAGGGCCCCCACTGCTTCACAAATTTTGTGCACAGGGCCTCTAGTCTAATAATAAATGGTTCTTGCAGTCTCTAAGCAGGTCATTGTCATCTTTTCTGAGAAAATGAAAGAGCACGTGGTCTATGGCTGGGGTAGTAAGTTGGTTAGAGTGTTATCCCTATCTGCCAAGGTTGTGGATTTGATCTGGTCAAATGAATTCAATGTTGCCCTGGCTGGTGTGCTTCAGGCTGCCCACCCAAGGGTGGAGGGTTCTTTTCCTTGTGAGGGAAATGTAACTGGGTTGCAGGTTCGATCCCCAGCCCTGGTTGGGATTTGGGGAAGGCAATCAATTGAAGTGTCTCTCTCACATTGCTCTCTCTCTCTCGCTCTCGCTATCGCTCTCGCTCTCGCTCTCCACACCCCCACCCCCTCCCTATCTTCTCCCTCCTTCCTTTCCACTCTCTCAAAAAAAAAAAATTGTGGAAAAATTTTCCTCCCATGAGGATTAACAACAACAAACAAAAGGAGTAACCAATGGCACCCCGACCCCCTCCCTATCTTCTCCTTCCTTCCTTTTCACTCTCTCAAAAAAAAAAATTGTGGAAAAATTTTCCTCCCGTGAGGATTAACAACAACAAACAAAAGGAGTAACCAATGATTGCCTAGATGAGTGGAACATATATCAATGTTTCTCCATCTCTCTTTCTCTCTCCCTAAACAATAAATAAAAAATATAAAAACAATATTAAAAAAGAATATGAAAGAGCACGAACAGAAAAATGATAGTATCTGTTCCCAGGTAGGTGGGAATGAGGAAGCAGATGACATAGGTGAGAGGTCCAAAGGTCATGGAGGAAGCCAGACCTTCCAGTTTGGTTGGGAAGCTGTGTTTCAATGGGAAGGATTTTGAGAAGTTCAGGTTTGTCAGTTGCTGTCATAGAGGGACAGACCGTCTCCAATAGGACCCATGCACGTGCATCCTCTCCGGACTCTGCTTCTGCCCCTGGGACTGCCATCCTCACATTAGCAGTGAGGCCATGTCCTCCCCTTGGACTGTGAGGGCTCCTCTTTCATTGCCTTGGGGTCCTGGGATAATCTGTGCATGTTCTTAAGGAATTGTATTGTTAAGGTTTTTCTGTTGAAATTTTGTTTTTGTCTCTTGAAAGGATTGAGATGGAGGAATTTGGTGGAGAAATCCCCGGAACACGGGGACAGGTGTGCTGTTCTCTGCTTTGTAATTTCTAATGCAATGTAGGCTTCAAACAAGACCCTGCAAGGTTTAGACTCGGGAATTTTATCACAGCACCATGCACCTCCCCAAAAGGAGAAAATCTAATTTTCTTTCACTTCACATCTTCCTTTTCCTATGTATTCTGCGATTTACTCGTGTTACAGTAGTTTAATGTGGCTATTTAACTCACAAAGTTTTTCAATAAGTTACTGCCGTATGTGGCCTTAGAACAGGGGTCCTCAAACTTTTTAAACAGGGGGCCAGTTCACTGTCCCTCAGACCGTTGGAGGGCCGGACTATAGTTTAAAAAAAAAACTATGAACAAATTCCTATGCACACTGCCCATGGGAATGTCTTTCTCTGTCATATTTAAAGGAAATTACTACTGGGTATTTTATTCTGGCCTGGTAATTTCTTTTTTTAGTCATTTGAATACTTGGTTCCATGCTCTTCTGGCTTGTAGAGTTTCTGCTGAGAAGTCAGACGATATTCTGATGGGTTTTCCTTTGTAGATTACTTCCTTCCTTTCCCTTGATGCTTTGAGAATTCTATTTTTTGTCATTAATTTTTGACAGTTTTAATACAATGCACCGTGGAGAGGGTCTCTTTGGATTGAGTTGAGTAAGTGTTCTATTTCCTTTTTGAATTTGAGGACCTAGTTCTTTACATAGGTTTGCGAAGTTTTCATCCACTATTTGTTTCAATAGGCTTTTAGTTCCCCTCTTCCTCTCTTCTTCCTCTTAGTATGCCTATAATTCTTCTATATATGAGCCTTTTCTGATGGAGTCAGATAGTTCTCATAGAGCCCTTTCTTTTCATGCTCAGGTGTCTTTTTTCTTTGCTCTATCTGTTCAGCTCTGTTTCCTAGTCTCAGTAATTCACCCCTAATCTCCTAAATTGCATACTTCGTTTTCAAGCATTCTGATTGGTTATTTTTGAAAGTTTCAATCTATTTGTTAAAGTACTAATTTTGTTCAATAATTTGTTTTCTGAGTGCATTGAATTGCTAGTATTTTATCACATCTTACTGAGTATTTTCAGAACTGTAATCTTAAATTCTGTGTTATTTCTGTCACATATTGGCCATGAGCTGAAGCTTGCTCTCTGGAGATTTTTTATTTTCTTTCTGAGCTTTCTCATAACCGTAGTTACTAATGCAATTTGTTAGTCTCCCCTGTCTAGGCATTTATTCTTGACCTTTCTGTAGCAGCTTTCTCTGAAGAGGACTTTCTACCATTTTTGTAGGTGGCACTGAATAACAACATTATTAACTCTGTGAACTCCCAGAGCTGACTACAGCCGTGCTGCTTGGGTGGGTGTTTATTTTGCCCTTATTGTAATGGTGACCCCAGACCTCTGTGGGTCCCCCCACAAGCCTCACCTGGTTATCCATCACAGAAGTCAACAGCGATTCTATTGCACTAGCTCTCTGTGTGCAGATACTATGCTCTTTGACCAAGGGCAACTGGAAGCGAGTTTTGGGAATCTAAGGGAAAGTAGTGCTCTGTGGCTACATTTCTTTGTCTGAATCACCATTGCCCGACAGCAGACAGCCATTGCAGAACCTCTATGCTGTGTCCTTGCCCAGGCATCTCTGCTGGCTCAGCTGCTATTCTCGCTGCTCACCCTGCTGGAGAGCCCACTGAGACTCTCTGTTCTACCCCATGGAAACAACTAATACCACCAGCTTCCCCTGCTCTCTGGATGGAGCTGGTCGCCAGCTCCTACTGCAGGGCTGTGTCCATGGCCATCTGGCCTCTTCTCCCTACTTCCCCTTTTATTCCTGGTTGCCCACCTCTAGATGTTTCACTGTGCTGGTCTCTCAGTCAGGCTTCTGTGTTAAGCAGGGAATTCTTTGTTAAGTTATAGTTGATTAACTTGTTCAAGTTGCAGGAGGAGAGAGCCCTGGGTAATCTCTCTAGCCTCCATTTTTCTGATGTTGCTCCCCATGTCTTCAACTCTTAATTTCTTATCTGTTCTCACGCCTTTTCACTATTCTGTATTTATGTCACTCCACTTGGTGTGCAAAGTGGTAGATTTGTTAATGTCCCATATGGGCTTCTATCAAAATCTTCAATGTACTATGCAAGTTTTTTGATTCTTCAGCTTGGTCATATCTTTCATTGGTAATTCTGTTATATTTTTAAATTGGTGCATTTTTTTTTTTTTACCTTGCCTTTTATGTTTGGTTCATTTCATAGATATTTGTATATTTGGACCATGTTTTTTAGTTTTTCTCAGTGTCTTAATATCTCTTGTTGGGGTTCAGGAATTTAAACAACCAGGCCTGCTGAAACCGGTTTGGCTTAGTGGATAGAGCGTCGGCCTGCGGACTGAAAGGTCCCAGGTTCGATTCCGGTCAAGGACGTGTACCTTGGTTGCGGGCATATCCCCAGTAGGAGATGTGCAGGAGGCAGCTGATCGATGTTTCTCTCTCATCGGTGTTTCTAACTCTCTATCTCTCTCCCTTCCTCTCTGTAAAAAAATCAATAAAATATATTTTAAACAAAAAAGAAAAAGAAAACAAAAAAACAACAACAACCAGGCCTTATAAACATGCTTTTTGTAAGAGAAAATAAATAACAATAACCTGTGGCAAAAATTCTAATTTCTGTCAGAATTGTTTGGGGGCAGAGTGTGTGTAAGTTCCAAGTTTAAATAATTTTCTATTTCTTTCCTAAAACCCAAAATATCTTTTTGTTTTGATAACTGTCTTCAGTATTGCAGTCTCTGTAGTGTTTGAACAATTACCCACCTATTCTTTTTTTCATTCTTAAATATTTTTAAATTGATTTCAGAGAGGAAGGGAGAGGGAGAGAGCGATAGAAACATCAATGATGAGAGAGAATTATTATTATTTTTAATAATTCTTCACTGTTGGAATTATTACATATGTCCCCCAGAGAGAGAATTATTGATCGGATGCCTCCTGCACCCTCCACACTGGGGATCAAGCTCACAACCTGGGCATGTGCCCTGACCAGGAATCGAACTGTGATGACCTGGTTCATAAGTTGATGCACAGCCACTGAGCCATGTGGGCCAGGCACCACTTTTTCTTTTTAGTAGCCATTACAATGTATTCACCATGTACCAGTAATGCCATTATTTTAGCACTCTGTATCATGCAAAACAGAAACACGTTCTTCAAGATGCTGCAAAACTGCAAGATCATTGAACAGACACAGTACCTCATCTCTATCTTCTCAGTGAAGAATCTGGGAAGTGGGAGTTTTCTTATAATACTGCCACTGTTTGCTAGGGTGTTTTCAAGTATTGGTGGCAAATGTAAGCAACTTTTTAACCCTCCTTGTGACTTTTCCTAATTGTACCTTTCTTGGTCTTGCTTTGAACATTTAACTTAATTTTGGAGTACTCAAAAATGTCATTGGGTCAGTAATTGCTGATAAGTTCAGTGTCCATTCCCATGGGTATCAAAACTGTGACACTGTATTTCATATCTTTCAGCTATCTTATCAGAAGACAACCAGGCCATTCTGCAAAAGCCAAAAATAAGAGATTTATTCCCTAAAATAATACTGGTAAGATATGGAAGGTATGGCTTTGATAATGTACATTTAGTGAAAGCCTTGGAATTTGAGGAGGAGTGTAAGATGAGAAAAAATTATTTTAACATGGACAGGAGTAACCTGGTACAGTTATTCATAATAAAATCATTGTCAATTAATGATGTCAAAAATATTACACATTTGGTAATACTCCCAATTAAAATTAGTTATATTTGTTAATTAATGTGTTTCTAAATGTGAAGACCAAATATAATGTTTTTAATATTATACATTCTTGGAATGAAAATACTGAAAATCTATGAAAAATCTATTTTTCATAGATTAATCCTTCAGTGCAGCATAATCTATGCTGTAAGTATAAGAATTACTGCAGTGTAGTGTGGGATTAAATTTTCAGTCATTTCTAGAATATAGTGATTTATAATGCACATACAAAATTTAAATGCAATTAGTTTGTTGACTTCTGTATTACGGTGTCATTATACTTCTATTGAGAAATAATGTTTTTGATAAAAATGTCTATAATTTTTATAAACTTAGAAATCTTTTTTAAAATATGTCTTTATCGGTTTAAGAGAGAGGAAGGGGGAAGGAGAGAGAGAAATATCAATGATGAGAGAGAATCATTGACTTGCTGGTTGCCTGTTGCCCTGGGGATTAAGGCCACAGCTCAGGCATGTGCTCTGACCAGGAATCAAACTGTGACCTCCTGGTTCATGGTTTGTTGCTCACCCCTGAATCACACAAGCCTGGAAGGATTGTGTGTTTTTTATACACATCATGGTTAATAGTTATTACAGAATAGTTATTTGAAAAAAAGAGTACATGTTTAATGAAATTATAGCTGTCACTAAAGGCCTTTCCATCTTCAATGATTACCAGAATACATGCAATGAAGACAGAAGTTATCAATGCAAGGAGCATTGGAAAAATTTTAACCAAGGGTCAAATTCTAATATACATCAGAAAATTCAGCTCCCAGAAAACCATTATAAAGGTGGAAAAGTCTTTGACCAATTGTCAAATCAAAATATACTTCAGTTTACTCGTACCATGGCAAAAACAAACAAACAAAGAAAATGTGACAAACCTTTGAAACAATCTTCAAATCATACTGAACGAGATAACATTCACACCAGGGAGAAACCTTGCAATTTTAATCCGTGTGCGAGACTCTTCAGTCAAATACTCAATCTAAATAAACTTAAGAAAATCCGTACTGGAGAAAAACATTATAAATGTAAAGAATGTGGTAAAACATTTAATTTCCTTTCAAATATTCGTGAACATGAGAGAATTCATACTGGAGAGAAGCCTTATAAATGTGGAGAGTGTGGCAAAGCCTTCAGGAGGTCCTCGAAGTGTCGTCGTCATCAGAGTATTCATACCGGAGAGAAGCCTTATAAATGTAGAGAATGTGGTAAAGCCTTCAGTGAGTCCTCAATCCTTCATCAACATCAGAGAGTTCATACTGGAGAAAAGCCTTATAAATGTAAAGAATGTGGCAAAGCCTTCGGTGCGGCATCAAGTTTTGCTTATCATCAGAGAGTGCATACTGGAGAGAAGCCCTATAAATGTGGAGAATGTGGCAAAGCCTTCAGTATGGCATCAACACTTACTATTCATCAGAGAGTGCATACTGGAGAGAAGCCTTATAAATGTAGAGAATGTGGCAAAGCCTTCAGTATGGCATCAACACTTACTATTCATCAGAGAGTGCATACTGGAGAGAAGCCCTATAAATGTGGAGAATGTGGCAAAGCCTTCAGTATGGCATCAACACTTACTATTCATCAGAGAGTGCATACTGGAGAGAAGCC